GAGCGCGTTCCCGCCATCCCGATCCTTCTTCGATGTTCTTAACCGTACATTATTTTGGTCCTTCGAGCCGAATCGCGGGTGTGGTGAGGGATTCGCTTTGAAATGTGAAACGAAGGTAGTCGATGAACGGCGCGGCAAGTGCCGCCGTTCGTCACTGGATTGATCAGTGTGAACTAATTCTCAATATTTTTTCAGGTTATGTACATGCCTCCTAAAAACTGAGTCACAAAAATTAAGAGTCATTGTGTGTGCATACCATGGATAGTCTACGGTCTCAGATCACTATACAAATGAATCGTTTTCTAATGATTCAGAACGCGGCGGAGGACGCGTCTGAAGATGTTTCCAACGCGCGATCTCGACATTTGGTGAGTACTCGACTCGAGATCTTGGAGGCCAACTGGGCCAAGTTTCAAACGGCTCACGAATTATGTCAAATGAGCTTGGAAAACCTCCATGAGGAGGCTTATATTAAACACCGGACATACGAGCGGTGTCAGGAATTCTACATACAGGCAAGAGCCACCCTGCTTGAGCAACAAGAGACGGTGGATGCCTCGAATTCCAGCTCACGGCGGTCGGACACAATCATACCGGAAGCGCGTCCTGGTGGCTTCCGAATGCGCCTGCCCAAGATTAACTTGCCATCGTTCGCTGGCGATTATAACGCTTGGAGATCATTTCATGATCTTTTTACAACAATGGTTGTCGACAACAACGATCTGATGAACGTCGAAAGAATGCATTATCTAAAGACATGTCTCAAAGGCGATGCTGCAAGGCTCGTCACGAATCTCAAGGTGACCGACGACACTTTCTTCATTGCTTGGAAGACTCTAGTAACTCGTTACGAGAATAAGCGGATGCTTATTTCCGCGCAGTTAGATAAGCTGTTTGGATTGAAACCCATCAAATCAAGATCAGCTAAAGAGCTCAACACCATTTTAGCCACGGTCACTGCAGCTCTTGGAGCCCTTGAGGCCTTGGATTGTAATACTAGTTCGTGGGACCCGTTCTTAGTGTATCTCGTAGCACGTTTATTGGACGCCGACACTCGTGAGGCGTGGGAGGTGAGATTAGATCCGTCCATGTCTTATCCGACGTTCAAGGAGTTCGAAGAATTTTTGACCGGGCACACGAGAGCATGGAAAAGTTTGACTTCCACCCTAGTCAAACCGAGTAAGGAAAAGAGTCGGTCGTCTTGGCCGCTAACCAAGCCCGAAGCTACTAGGTGTACAAATAAGTTTCCGGGTTTTTTTGATCAATGAAAAATGCAAAATTTCAAGAAACAAAAAGCGGCTTATTCAAAGTATCGTCCCTCGCTAGCTATACATTTTCGCCATCTCTCTTGCAATGCATGAATACCGCGACGATAGAACGACTCGTTTTTGGTCCGAAACCATTCATCTATCCAATTTCGCACTTCTTCGAAACTGGCCAAGTGTAGTCCAGCCAAGTCATGCGCCATCGACCGGAACAAGTGGTAATCAGAAGGCGCCAGATCTGGTGAATACGGCGGGTGTGGTAACAGATCCCATTTCAGCGTTTTGATGGTGTCCTTGACGATGGAAGTGCGATGGCACGGTGCATTGTCCTGCTGCAAAATCACTCGCTCATGTCTTGTGTTCCATTCTGACCGTAAATGTATGGAAATGCTTTGTTGAGACGTGTTTAACACCTCTGCAAGTTGTTTTTGAGTTTGCGTGTCATCTTCATCCAACAACGCTTGCAGATCGGCGTCCTCGATTGTTTTCGGTCTTCCGGAGCGCTCTTTGTCCGCAGTGTCGAAATCGCCACTTCTAAAGCGTTTACCATAAACCAATCTTCACAGGTTGTTTTCGATGGTGCATGTTCACCGTAAGCCTCCTCAAGCAAACGACGTGCTTCAGCTGCATTTTTGCCCAAGTGAAAGCAGAAAAGCAAGACTTCCCGCGAATGCTGTTTTTTTGGCACAAAACCCGACATTTTCACTGTTGCATAAAAATTTTTTTTCGTCGCGAAACTGGAAATATTTTGATTGATTATTGTCGTCAAATGTCGCAGCTATAAAAAATAAACAACTTCAGACATGTATGTCGACTACATGTGTCGTTGGCGCCATCCATGTGTGAAACCCGGAAACTTATTTGTACACCTAGTAAATCTCGTGGTCTGACAGCGTCAGCCTCCTCGACTACAGGTGAACAAGGTTGTCGTTTATGTAAGTCAAATCATTCCTTGTTAAATTGCCCTACTTATCTATCTCAATCAGTTGATCGCCGCAAACATGCACTTCTTAAACTAAATCTGTGTTTCAATTATTTGGAAAGGCACACAGGTAACTCATGCCCAAGCTCTCGCGGCTGTAGAAGATGCCATCAGAGACATCACACGACGATACACAATGATCGCAAACCGTCAATGGGATCAGCGACTAAAACGGTTTCGGATTCGCCTATTATTGACAATCAGCATTCTCAACCCGATTCAAAATGACTAGAACGTATGGCCGGTAATGGTGGATCCGTCGATAGCCCCCGGCCGCTTACTATACTCGCCACTTGTCAGGTGAGGATAAGGGGTTCCGACGGTCGCTCTATACAGGTTCGTGCGCTATTAGATCCTGGATCCGATTTGTCATTTATAACTGAGGAGTCGATCCGTTTATTAGGAGTGCCTCGCTCGCATGCTGCTATTCCTTTGATCGGCATTGGCGAATCAGATTCAGGGCATACCCGGGGTTCGGCTCACCTCACTCTGCATTCTGTAATAGACAGTTCAGTCTCCTATATGTTACATGCCTTTATTCTACCGCGATTAACATCTCAGTTACCGTCTTTTGAAGTAGCAACGGAGTCATGGACTCATCTTAGACATCTTGAACTTGCGGATCCCAATTTCGGGAAACCTGGTCCGATTCACGTGATTATTGGCGCGGACGCGTATGGTCAAATCATTAAACCCAGATTATTACGAGACAATTCATCAAAGCTTATCGCGCAATCGATCTTGTTTCGGTTGGGTTGTGTCTGGACCCGTCGCGTCCAACGCTCATAATCGCGATGGAAAACTTTATCATTGCATGATCGATCGCGACCTACAAGATCTCTTAACTTATTTCTGGAAGCAAGAGGAAATTCCGAAATCAAACGTCAATGTTTTAAGCCCTGACGAAGCACACTGCGAGGAACATTTTCTATCCACATTTACTCGCGATCGCGACGGTCGATACACGGTCCGACTTCCTTTGAAGTCGTCACCAACTTTATTAGGAGCCTTAGATTTCATAGCGCTTCGCTACGAAATCCGCATTTGACGCAACTCCGTCAGAAATTTGAAAGAGAACCCCCCTATTGTCAATTATATACGGAATTTTTACGAGAGTACCAGTCCTTAGGGCATATGACACCTGTAAGGCAGTCAGAGATAAACCATTCTCCCGTATTTTACCTACCGCACCATGGAGTGTGGCGCGAAAACAGTCAATCAACGAAGATCCGAGTAGTCTTCAATGGGTCTAGTCCTGCCAGTAACGGCACTTAACGAAATCCTGCATTCAGGCGCCAAATTGCAGACCAATCTTTTTGACGTTTTGTTATGGTTTCGGTCTCATAGATACGTTTTCTCAACGGATATTACTAAAATGTACCGACAGATCTCGATTCATAAGGATGATCGTAACTTGCAACGTATCTTTTGGTATGATTCTCAAGGTCAGGTGCATATCAGCTCACTACAGTAACGTACGGGTTAAATTGTGCTCCATTCTTAGCACTTCGCGTGTTACAACAGCTTACCGTTAATGAAGGTCATCGGTTCCCAAAGGCTATACCCGCGCTAACCAAGGGAAGATACGTAGATGATATCTTCGGGGGTGCCGAATCGATTGACGAAACGAGGGAGATAATAGCTCAGGTAACGCGTCTTTGCATGGCGGGCGGATTCCCTTTACAAAAGTGGAGTAGTAATCGCCCGGAGTTGCTCGATAGCTCGGCGACAACGCCTGGTTCTAATGCTCCCTTCGTGGATTTAGGTTCCCCTCGAGTCAGAGTGTTAGGCCTTTGTTGGCATTCACACTCGGATACCTTTACGTACGCATCGGTCCCGTCTTCTCATAAAAATATCACAAAGAGATCTGTTTTGTCGGAGACAGCTCAGATATATGACCCTTTGGGCCTCATTGCACCAGTATTAATACGAGCAAAAATCCTCATTCAGGAACTTTGGTTATTGAAAATAAAATGGGATAGTCCCTTGCCTGCTGAGCTTCAGGATCGGTGGTCGGCATTTAAACAACAATTACGGACTCTTAACAATTTAAATATCCCTCGATGGATTAACATTTCTTCAAACGCTGTCTCCATCCAGTTGCATGGATTCTCTGACGCATCTCAACTCGCAATGGCAGCGGTAGTTTATCTTAGAGTCGAAACTCCAGACACCGAAATTCAGGTCAATATTGTGTGCGCCAAGACGAAAGTTGCGCCATTGAAAAAACTCACCGTGCCTCGTCTTGAGCTAAACGCCGCGTTAATGCTGACCCGACTTATCGTTTTAGTGCGAGATGCCTTAGCTTTAGAGGATAATTCAATCTTTCTTTGGGCTGACTCGTCCGTCGTCCTCACTTGGGTTTCCTCTCACCCCGCGAGATGGAAAGATTATGTCCGTAATCGAGTGACGATTATACAGGAATTAGTGCCCTCCACTACCTGGCATTTCGTCTCAGGCAAGAAAAATCCCGCCGATTGTGCGTCCAGGGGACTGAGCGTCCCCGATCTTGTGCAGCATTCATTGTGGTGGTCGGGGCCTCCGTGGCTGTGTCAGGCGTCGGACTGTTGGCCTCGCATGAACACCATTCCCGTTGCCGACAAGAATCTGGAAGAAAGGTCAAATCTGATACTTACTTCGCGTCACGACAGCCAGTTCACCCCGTGGGATCTTCTTGAGCGTTACTCTTCTCTTACTAGACTTTTTAGAATCACAGCCCTATGTAAACGCGTAGTCAGTCGACTTCGGCGCTTGCCTTTAGCATCTTGGGGAGAGCCCCTAACTCCCGCAGAACTTGTACAAAGTCGTCAATTCTGGATAAGCCAAGTACAAAGGAGTCATTTTTCGCATGACATTACGATATTGTCAAGGAGAGGAAATTTGCCAAAATCCAGCCTTTTGCTTCGACTCACGCCGTTCGTGGATGAGATAGGTCTCCTTCGTGTAAGAGGGCGGTTACGACATGCTCCTTTGGAAACGGATGTTAAGCATCCATTCATTTTACCCAAGCTCTCACATCTTACGACTTTAGTAATCGCTGATGCTCATGCTCGAACTTTGCACGGTGGAACTCAGGTCACGTTGGCGTATACCCGCCAACAGTATTGGATTCTAGGCGGACGATCTCCTGTCCGCGCCTTCATCCTTAGATGCATGAAATGCGCCCGACACCGTGCTCAACAGCTGATGGGACAGCTCTCGGTCACGAGAATAACACCCTCTCGCCCTTTTTTACATACGGGAATCGATTATGCAGGTCCGATGAAGATAAAGACTTGGCGAGGGCGGGAGGCCAAGATGTACAAGGGCTACTTAGCTATTTTCGTCTGCTTCTCTACTTCCGCCGTGCATATTGAAGTGGTTACGGACTACTCTACTGAAGCGTTTATCGCAGCATACAAACGATTTACCGCTCGACGCGGAATTTGTGCTACCTTAAACAGTGACTGTGGTACCAATTTTGTCGGTGCTGATCGAGAATTAAGACAACGATTCGACTCAGCTTCTCAAGAGTTAAAGGAACTAGCATCCATCCTTATCAATCACGGTACGGAGTGGCGATTCATCCCACCAGCCGCGCCGCACTTTGGAGACAAGTGGGAGGCCGCGGTTAAATCGACTAACAAGTAACACTACCCAAGTGTTAATCACCGATCGTCTTGAAATTTGGTCTACATATTCTTTAATGGAAAATATTTGATACGTATTTTTTTATATCGGCTAAAAAACATTTTAAGGGGGCTAAAAAAATGTTTTAACATTGTAAAAACTACTATCGCAACGTGTATATTGTGTCACCGTGAAAATTTTTTAATATATAAAACAAGAAACAAAAAACAAAAAAACACAAAAAATAACAAAACTAAAAAAAAATAAATAAAATTAAAAAAAAAATGGGGTCTATAATAGCACTGCAACCTCCTCGCGGTAGACCCTGGAAACTACTATCACAGTAGGCTAACTGCAGGCAAAACAAAGAAGTGTATTTTAAAATAATTATTTATTCTAATTTTGAAAATCTGACTCCAAGTTCGTATTAAGCGACCCCAAAAACACCAGTATTCACATTCTTATGGAAATTAAACAATTTCTTGAAAATTCGTCAGCCATATTGGATACGACATTTTGAATTTTAAAATTCTGACTTCAGATTCGTAATCCCCGATACCAAAAACCCCCAGGTAATACATTTCAGCCAATTTTAAATGTATTTTTCAAACATCCAAGCAAGAAGCCCACGGTGACACAATATACACGTTGCGATAGTAGTTTTTACAATGTTAAAACATTTTTTTAGCCCCCTTAAAATGTTTTTTAGCCGATATAAAAAAATACGTATCAAATATTTTCCATTAAAGAATATGTAGACCAAATTTCAAGACGATCGGTGATTAACACTTGGGTAGTGTTACTTGTAAGTATCATCTCCGAAGAGTCATCGGCGACTCAACGCTTACGTACGAAGAGCTTACAACTCTTGTGACTCAAATCGAGGCCGTGTTAAACTCGAGGCCTCTTAGTCCTTTGTCAGCGGACGCTGACGACTACACCGCGCTCACTCCCAGTCACTTCCTTCTAGGTGAGGCTCCTAACGTGATACCAGAACCGAACCTCATAGAAGAGTCAGGCTCCCAGCTAAACAGATGGCAGCTCATCAGACAGAAAGTGGAACACTTCTGGAAGCGATGGAGCGTTGAGTGTTTACAACGTTACCAATCCATCTCCAAGTGGCACCATCCATCGACTCTAATTAAGGAAGGATCCTTAGTATTGGTAATCAATGAGCGATACCCTCCAGCGAAATGGCCACTGGCTCGGGTTATTAAACTACATCCCGGTGATGACGATCTGACGAGAGTCGTTACCGTGCGAACGGCTACCACAACCTTCAAGCGACCGATCACGAAGATCTGCATCCTACCCTGTAGTTAGGAAACAGCGGTGTTCGAGAATCAACTTCTCGAAGGCGGGCGGAATGTTCCGTCGCGAGTAACGTATCGGCCGAGAATGAGAAAACGACATAAAGCGCTCTGTCGATATATAGTGCGCGGGGCAAGCGGTCGCTGGCCCGCGGCGCATCGAGGCAGTTCACGGCAACGCCACACGAGAAGAAAGCGCTTTTCGAGGCCCAACCTTTTTTGATTTGCGCTAACGGCGATTAAGTCACACCGGCGAGAACCGGAAAGTTTTTCCCTCTCAAGGTTTTTGTACTTCCGGACGAGCGAGAGAGCCTCAGAAACAACTAAGAATTTCAGATGAGAGTAAATGTCAGGATATTTGCCGCGGGCGTCGTGACTCGGGCGGTGCAGGAATTTGCGTGATACGTAGCGGCACGTGGCGGTACCTCCCCCCTCGAGTTTTCGCTTTTTCCGTCGATCGAGAGGCCTCGGTCAGGAATCGAACGCGGCATGCCTCCGTCCTGACGATCCGAGTAACGATTTCGGGTCACGCTGTCTCGTCTCGCAAGCATGCACAAGTAACAAGCAAGTGCCTGTTGAGACACCCGGGGCTTGACAGGATCAAGCGAGGGCCCGTGTGTCTCACTCTCAAGGGGCTTGATAAGATCAAGCGAGGGCCCGTGTGTCTCACTCTTACGGGGCTTGATAGGTTCAAGCGAGGGCCCGTCTGTCTCATAATAAGAACTGTGTTACGGCAATGTGACGATCACTATTGAAAATATTTTATTAACGATTTAAATAAATATGCATTTCTGATTTTTCAACAGCGAGTGATTTCCTTCAGAGAGCGTTCCCGCCATTCCGATCCTTCTTCGATGTTCTTAACCGGACACAAAGACATTTCCTCTTCCAACTAAAATAGTGGTTATTTAATTCTCCTTCTAAACATTATACAAAATTGCGTTACCTTGCTCAATTTAAGTGTTACCACAAAAAATTAAAGAATTAACCGTATAAAATGAAAAAATTTAATTTAAATAGAAAAATTTTTCATGTAAAAACACTTGGCGCTGCTAGATTGAGTAAGAAAAACTGTAAGAAACAATTTAAAATTGGAATGATAATTAATAAAAATAAATAATAAAAGATAATTATAATTTAAAAGTAATAATAAAAGTAATAATAAATTCTCTTTCATAATGCATGTCTTACAAACTAAATTTATTTTTCTTTGACTTAAACTTAATAACATTCACAATGATCATAATTTACATGACTCTAACTCAATCATATATACACATGCTAGATACTTTGACTCTCATTGGGGATGCTTTTTATTTTTCTTATTTTTCTAGATATTCATATTTTTT